TTCATTTTATTTTTATTATATAACATTAATTTGTAAAATGGTTATATAACAGAATTCATTCGTAATAGAGTTTATGTTTGAATAGGATATTATTAATGGGCAGTTTTAAAATTGTCCATTTATATCCCCGTTTTATAAAATTAATATATTAAATCCTTCTCTGACACAGAAGAGAGAGCGCACTCCCCAAGCCAAGGATGAGTGCCAAAGAGAAGATACCCAAGCTAGTCTATCACAAGGAGAAAGCGAGGCAGTGAGATTTTAGGTTTCATTAGGGATATATACTATACTAATTGTATATTTTAATATTTATAGAAAGGATAATATTATAAATTATATTTTTGAAAATTAAAAATAACAATTAAAATTTTTACTTTTAAAAAGCGGGAATATTAATATGCAACTGTGAAACTTCCCATTACATTTCTCACTCAAACACAAACTTTAAGACCTGATTAAGAAAAAATTTGTAAATTAAACAATTATACTACACTGATTGTATTTCTTTTAACATAATAAAATCTAATAAAATAGACAATTCAAAAATTCAAAAAATAACATAATTATTTTATAAATGTATCTTAAATTAACCAAAAAGAAATTTAAACCAACGAAAAATTCTTCCAAAAACAAATATTAGAAAATTGTGTTTTCCGGAAAAAAAAGACATGTAATTGCAGTTAATTATTTTAAAATAGTGGGATCAATTTTAGAAATCAGTAATTATAATTAATTAAAATTATTTCAAATCCGCAAAAAAATTTAAAGATAAATTTTTAATTTTTATCATGTTGCGGGGATCACATCTACTCAAATCTGCAAGATATAAACAAAAATATTAGTGCATGATAAATAATGAATTATATTTATTATAATATAAATAATAAACAATTTCCCATACTCCTTTAAACAAGAAGTTTTCCTTCAAAGTGTATTTTTATAATTAGAAGAACAATAGAGTGTAAATAAGTAAATCAATTTTTTGTATGTAATTTAAACAATTCTTTGATAGTTTTCATACCTGACTTTAAAATAATGCATATAATAATTCACTGGTCGAAGCAATACATCTGTGCATTGAAAATGAATTTCTCACTCTGAAAAATGATTGTTCTAAAGGATGATACTAACAAAAAGAACAATTTTTTTCTAAAAAATATGACATATATAGAATGAATGAAGCAAATGGATAAACAGGCAGTGATCGCGTTTATAATAGGAATTCAAAATTAAAAAGTGATTACATATTTGAAACAAACCGTATTTTTACATATGATTTTTCTTTTCAGATTTAAATTGAACAGTATGATATTTGATTATCATCTAAGTAAATTTTCAGATTTAAATGGGAAGTTAAATAAACATGGAATTTATTAGATTTTATTTTTTTTTCTTTTGTATTTTTTACTTTATTTTTTAGAAAACGTGGGACGTTAGACTTTTTTTTTAAAAAAAAATAATAACTCAAATCAAGTTTTTTCAAATTTTTTTTGGTTTGTAATTTTAACTACTTTAAATTTAATTTAAAATATTAACTAATTCGCCATTTTCTCTAAATTAACATTATGTGGTTGGTTAATTAATTTGAAAAAAAATCATATTCAATAGTATTTTTACTTTTTAAAAACTAAACTATATCTTTATTTAAAAGATTTTGTTTAATGCGTGAATAATTTTTCTAGTTATTTATTTAAAATTATTAATGTATCATGTTTATATTTTATTTTTTCGTATCTACGTGTGTATGTTATAAAGAAAAATAATATTATTTTTTGAAATATTCCTTTAGAGACATATCAAAATGACAGTGTTTTTTTTCCTTTTTTATTTCTCACAAGTTTTATACTATTATTAATTTGAATAAGTTTCATACTGTTAAATAAGTTTTAAAATGTTTATTTAAGAAATACTTTATGTTTTTATTTTGACAGCTTTTACTTCTCCTGTTTTATATATAGATATAGAATATTGATTTTTAATATTATTAATATTATTATTATTATTATTATTATTATTATATTTTAACAATTTGCCTCATATTTTTAAATCTCGTTTCAAAATAGTAAATTTTAAAATTCAAATAAGAAAACAACTTTGGTTGAAACTATTAGCAATTTAAATTCATTGTTATTATTAAATTATTATGTTATTATAGTAAATTGTATTATTATTATTATTATTATTATTATTATTATTATTATTATTATTTATTATTATTATTGTTGTTGTTGTTGTTATTGTTATTATTTCTTTTATTAGTACTATTATTATTTATTATTATTTAAATAATTACATCTTATTTTTAAGTGGTATATACTAAAAGGCAAATACGCATGGATAAAAAATAAACACCACTTTCAATTTTACATTTTCATATTGCGGGGATTACATCAACTCAAATCAGAAAGATGTAAAACTATATTATTGCATGATAAATAATTAATCATATTTGTTATAATATAAATAATAAACGATTACTCATACTCCTTTAAACAACAATTTTTCTTTCAAAGTATATTTTTATTAGAGGAAGAACAATAGAGTGTAAATAAGGAAATCAATTTTTGATCTGTAATTTAAACAATTCTTGGATAATGTTCCATCCCTGATTTTAAATTAACACATATGATAATTCACTAGTTGAAGCAATACATTTGTGCATTAAAGATGAATTTCTCACTATGAAAAGTTATTGTTTTAAAGGATGGTACTAACAAAATGAATAAAAAAAGAGTTTAACTACTATCCACCGACGGTGGACAAAAAATTACACGGGCATATTATTTTTAGAAATATTTAATTTTTTTAATTAATATATTTTAATATTATTAATATTAAAATAAAAATAATAACAGAGTGTTATATGGTAACTTGAATTATAAATTAATTGTACAAATTTAATTAGGATTCTTATTTGTCTTACCAAAAATAAAAAATACATAATTTCTTGTGTTTTCTTATTGAAAAGCACTTCAATCCTTCAAAGAAAATCATTGTCAACATATTATTTTTTTTTATAAGAACCGGTACTTGTTGCCATTGAAGCAATGCTAGCAAAATATTAATATGAAACTATTCCAGAAACATAAAGTGCAACAAAATCAACATATTCAAACTTATAAGAGTAAGCAAACAAAATCAAACACTATTAAATACGGCCCATGATTTAATCACAATTGCATGCTTGGTTACAAATTTTATTCTTTCGGTGAAAATTTTTTGTTGCTATACGTTGTTATTGCTGCTGCTATGTATCAGAGAGTGGAGTATCCTTGCTAACATATATGAAGGCATAAAAGAGTAACTAATTCACTATGAATAAAAACACAATCAACAAAAAAAACTAAAGCTAAAACTCTTAGTTATTGTATGTAAACTTAAAAGAAAAAAAAGTCTTGAACAAAAAATATCCCTGGATTTATATTCTGCCAAAGAAAGAAAACAGAACAAAATGAATTTTGAATAATTGTCTCTCTAGACATCCTTTATAGTTTTAAATTCCACATACTCCAAGCCACCTTGTAGATTAGAAACCTCTTTGATATGGATACGAAGTTGCTCTCATCAAATCCTGAAACAGTAATTGTTTACAAATGCATATATGCTATAAATAAAATACATACAAGCGCAGTAAAATAAACCCACCATAAATGAGGTTGGATATGAATCAGCACGACCACTTTGCCCTTCAAAAGGTTCTGAATATGCTGAGAATTCCTTTAAAAATGATTAAATAAAAGAAAAATTTGTTAGCTAAAAAGAGAATGATACATAAGAATAAGTCTTAGTCAAAATTCACATAATTTATCAAAATAAAACCTTACCATTGTAGGATCTGCATTAATGATTGTTTCCCTGCTATTGAATTCCTTTTCAACATTAATGTGTGAACTGAAAATTAAGCAAATAATTGAAATATGTGATTTATTCAATGAATTCACATTAAATTAAAGATCAAACTATAAAATTACCTTACTCCTTTGCCTTTTTTTCTGATTTTGGTTTCTCTTTTTGATTTCAGCGAAGAGCTTCTTTTAACCTTCTGAGAACTTTCTAAACCACTTTTCATTCTCAAAGAACGAGGACATCCTTTAGTAGCCACGCATGGAGGGTCAAGCAAACTAAATTTTTCTCTTTGTTCACTTGAGTTCAAATCATTATTTGATTCGTTAACTTGATCATCACAAACATTATCATTATCCTCATATGGAAGTTCATCAAGTTCTTTACTTAGTTGCAACAATTTCTGATATGTAAATTTATAATGCTTTTCTGAACGAGTAGCTCGTTCAGAGAGCCCAAGAGAATGTGTCATAATGTTATTAAACCATATAGTAGAAGACTTCAGATTATACGCAAGCGATCCTGCACTTGAAATGTCATTAGCTTTTTCTGTAGTTGCATACCTTGTCCATCGATCCAATAAATAACATGGTGGAAGAGAGTGAATCTGTTTCTTTATAAATATCATTAGCACATGTCTACACAAAATTCCCATGAACTCAAACTTATGACAAGAACAAGTAGCATTCTTTAATTTAAGATTCAACCTAACAATATGTGTCGGTGTTTCTCTCTGAAACAAATGCACTTTATAAATATGTATCCCATCCTGAACCTCAATTTTTTCTGAAATAAATTTTTGAGATTGAATTAACTCTTCTTGAAATTTTTGAAATATTTTTCTGGTATATATTTTGGCTGCTTCATCCTGCATTGGATATAATGTTTTCAAGATAGCCTTTGAATGCTTTGTCTTATAATCCTTCTCCCTTACTTTGTCATACCTAGCGTCAACAGCTTTATCATATTGCGTCACAAATACACTCATTGGCATACTAGAGTTAAGATAATCTTTAAAGTATTTATTCATACTTTCACTTCTTTGAGTTGTTGACATTCCGGCATAAAAAGTAGTTCGCACATATGCTGGAATCCATTTCTCGCGAATGGTGTAATCTTACGCAACCAAATATGCTCTTCTAAATTGTACATTTTCATTATATCGATCCAAGCAATTTCAAATTCCTCAGGAGTTGTTGTAAAATGTAAACACTTACTAAACTTATTTTTAAAATCATCAAATGCATGAAAAACATGACTTAGATATTCAGGAATCTTCTTCTCAATGTGCCACATACAAAAATGGTGTGCACTATTCGGGAACACCTTTGCAACTGCATTTGTTATTGCAGCATCTTGATCTGTGATTATTGTACGAGGGAAAATACCAAACATTGCCTCTTGCCAAGTATGAAGTAACCACTGAAAATTTTCTTCCGTTTCATCCCAAAGAAGAGAACATCCAAATAAAATGGATTGGTGATGGTTATTAACTCCGGTAAATGGAACAAAAGGCATCTTATATTTATTTGTCAAGTATGTAGGATCAAATAGGACAACATCTCCAAAATTCTTGTAAGCTATCCTAGACCTAGCATCTACCCAAAAACAATTAGCTAAATGACCCTCCACATTCATTTGTATTGCATAAAAGAATCCTGGGCTATCAGATTGTCGCTTTTGAAAGTATTTCAACATCAATTGTGCATCTCCTTTCTCAAGACAATTTTGCCTTTTAGTGCTCAAATAATTCTGAATATCTCGTCCAGTTATATTGAGATTCTCTATGCCTCCCGCCTGAGTAGTTAACACTGATGCGATTTTACTTGGACGAATACCAGAATTATTTAAGAGATCAATAAGATTTTTTGAGCCTCTGATTTTTTTCTTTTTGATCGCAAGAATTTCTGACTATTAGGAGAAGCAAGTTCATGATTATGATTCAAGACAAGCCTAGCTATAACCCACTTTTCTTCTTCTTTCTTTGACATATATATCATCACTTTGCACCCCTCTCTAGTCTCATCTCATTGCTTATTACTCTCAAGAAATTTTTTTGAACGAAATCCTTCTTTTGAACAAACAAACTCTTGACCAATAATGGATTTATCTTTTCTTGATCTACTAATTCGATTTTTGCGCACACTAAAACCATTACGATGAGCATAATCAAGATAAAATTTAAATCCAGTATCAAGTGATTGAAATTCCATACCGATGTAAGGCTCTCTTAATTCCTGCTCTCCTAGTTGAGGAACAAAAGATACAACTGCATTCATGTTGCTTTCTATTTCCTCCAAGGAATCTTCAATTCCTTCTGCATTTTGCTCTTCTAAATTAGAGATTTCAAAAGTTTCCTGCAATACACAATTATTAGATATTAGACTGATAGGGTAAGTTAGCTTTAAAATTTTAAATATTTTTCATGGCTAATGTATTGAACTTCTTCAATTTGCTAAAAAGTTCTTAAACGTATTCTTTAAATATCTTCATCACTACAAAACATAAATTTCTTCATACATTAAAACAAGAATATTTCTTTGAAACGTTTATTCATGTTGCGAAAAAGACTTAATAAGTTATGTAAAAAAAGATATACGAGGAAAACGCTACCATGATAATTGTTTCAAATTGCTTCAATGGTGGATAGTTGGTTGCTTCAATGGTTTATGTAGAAAAAGAAGAACGTTAATACAACTAAGAAAACACAAGAAATTATGTATTTTTTATTTTTGGTAAGACAAATAAGAATCCTAATTAAATTTGTACAATTAATTTATAATTCAAGTTACCATATAACACTATGTTATTATTTTTATTTTAATATTAATAATATTAAAATATATTAATTAAAAAAATTAAATATTTCCAAAAATAAAATGTCCGTGTAATTTTTTTGTCCACCGTCGGTGGATAGCAGTTAAACTCTTTGAGTTATTATTCTTTTTTTTAAAGTCTAACTTCCCACGTTTTCTAAAAAAAAAATACATACTATGGACAAAATCCAAAATTATAGCTTCTCAATTTTAAAGAATTAAACAAAAATTTATAATTCGATTAACTAAAACTATCTCTATATAATAGGAGGAGTAAAAAAGTAAATAAAATAAAATAAAATCCAATAAATTTCATATTTATCTAACTTTCCATTTAAATCTGAAAATTTAATTAAGGATAATCAAATACGGTTCAATTTAAATTGAAAAAAAACATATGTGAAAATAAGATTTGTTTCGAATATGTAACCACTTTTTATTTTGAATTCCTATAATAAAGGCAACCACCTACCTATTTATTCATTTGCTTCATTCATTCTATATATGTAGAATTTTTTTTATGAGTTTAACTGCTATCCATCGACGGTGGACAAAAAAATTATACGGACATTTTATTTTTGGAAATATTTAATTTTTTTAATTAATATATTTTAATATTATTAATATTAAAATAAAAATAATAACATAGTGTTATATGGTAAATTGAATTATAAATTAATTGTACAAATTTAATTAGGATTCTTATTTGTCTTACCAAAAATAAAAAATACATAATTTCTTGTGTTTTCTTAGTTGTATTAACGTTCTTCTTTTTCTACATAAACCATTGAAGCAACCAACTATCCACCATTGAAGCAATTTGAAACAATTATCATGGTAGCGTTTTCCTCGTATATCTTTTTTTACATAACTTATTAAGTCTTTTTCGCAACATGAATAAACGTTTCAAAGAAATATTCTTGTTTTAATGTATGAAGAAATTTATGTTTTGTAGTGATGAAGATATTTAAAGAATACGTTTAAGAACTTTTTAGCAAATTGAAGAAGTTCAATACATTAGCCATGAAAAATATTTAAAATTTTAAAGCTAACTTACCCTATCAGTCTAATATCTAATAATTGTGTATTGCAGGAAACTTTTGAAATCTCTAATTTAGAAGAGCAAAATGCAGAAGGAATTGAAGATTCCTTGGAGGATATAGAAAGCAACATGAATGCAGTTGTATCTTTTGTTCCTCAACTAGGTGAGCAAGAATTAAGAGAGCCTTACATCGGTATGGAATTTCAATCACTTGATACTGGATTTAAATTTTATCTTGATTATGCTCATCGTAATGGTTTTAGTGTGCGCAAAAATCGAATTAGTAGATCAAGAAAAGATAAATCCATTATTGGTCAAGAGTTTGTTTGTTCAAAAGAAGGATTTCGTTCAAAAAAATGTCTTGAGAGTAATAAGCAACGAGATGAGACTAGAGAGGGGTGCAAAGTGATGATATATATGTCAAAGAAAGAAGAAGAAAAGTGGGTTATAGCTAGGCTTGTCTTGAATCATAATCATGAACTTGCTTCTCCTAATAGTCAGAAATTCTTGCGATCAAAAAGAAAAAAATCAGAGGCTCAAAAAAATCTTATTGATCTCTTAACTAATTCTGGTATTCGTCCAAGTAAAATCGCATCAGTGTTAACTACTCAGGCGGGAGGCATAGAGAATCTCAATATAACTGGACGAGATATTCAGAATTATTTGAGCACTAAAAGGCAAAATTGTCTTGAGAAAGGAGATGCACAATTGATGTTGAAATACTTTCAAAAGCGACAATCTGATAGCCCAGGATTCTTTTATGCAATACAAATGGATGTGGAGGGTCATTTAGCTAATTGTTTTTGGGTAGATGCTAGGTCTAGGATAGCTTACAAGAATTTTGGAGATGTTGTCCTATTTGATCCTACATACTTGACAAATAAATATAAGATGCCTTTTGTTCCATTTACCGGAGTTAATAACCATCACCAATCCATTTTATTTGGATGTTCTCTTCTTTGGGATGAAACGGAAGAAACTTTTCAGTGGTTACTTCATACTTGGCAAGAGGCAATGTTTGGTATTTCCCCTCGTACAATAATCACAGATCAAGATGCTGCAATAACAAATGCAGTTGCAAAGGTGTTCTCGAATAGTGCACACCATTTTTGTATGTGGCACATTGAGAAGAAGATTCCTGAATATCTAAGTCATGTTTTTCATGCATTTGATGATTTTAAAAATAAGTTTAGTAAGTGTTTACATTTTACAACAACTCCTGAGGAATTTGAAATTGCTTGGATCGATATAATGAAAATGTACAATTTAGAAGAGCATATTTGGTTGCGTAAGATATACACCATTCGCGAGAAATGGATTCCAGCATATGTGCGAACTACTTTTTGTGCCGGAATGTCAACAACTCAAAGAAGTGAAAGTATGAATAAATACTTTAAAGATTATCTTAACTCTAGTACGCCAATGAGTGTATTTGTGACGCAATATGATAAAGCTGTTGACGCTAGGTATGACAAAGTAAGGGAGAAGGATTATAAGACAAAGCATTCAAAGGCTATCTTGAAAACATTATATCCAATGCAGGATGAAGCAGCCAAAATATATACCAGAAAAATATTTCAAAAATTTCAAGAAGAGTTAATTCAATCTCAAAAATTTATTTTAGAAAAAATTGAGGTTCAGGATGGGATACATATTTATAAATTGCATTTGTTTCAGAGAGAAATACCGACACATATTGTTAGGTTGAATCTTGAATTAAAGAATGCTACTTGTTCTTGTCATAAGTTTGAGTTCATGGGAATTTTGTGTAGACATGTGCTTATGATATTTATAAAGAAACAGATTCACTCTCTTCCACCATGTTATTTATTGGATCGATGGACAAGGTATGCAACTACAGAAAAAGCTAATGACATTTCAAGTGCAGGATCGCTTGCATATAATCTGAAGTCTTCTACTATATGGTTTAATAACATTATGACACATTCTCTTGGGCTCTCTGAACGAGCTACTCGTTCAGAAAAGCATTATAAATTTACATATCAGAAATTGTTGCAACTAAGTAAAGAACTTGATGAACTTCCATATGAGGATAATGATAATGTTTGTGATGATCAAGTTAACGAGTCAAATAATGATTTGAACTCAAGTGAACAAAGAGAAAAATTTAGTTTGCTTAACCCTCCATGCGTGGCTACTAAAGGACGTCCTCGTTCTTTGAGAATGAAAAGTGGTTTAGAAAGTTCTCAGAAGGTTAAAAGAAGCTCTTCGCTGAAATCAAAAAGAGAAACCAAAATCAGAAAAAAAGGCAAAGGAGTAAGGTAATTTTATAGTTTGATCTTTAATTTAATGTGAATTCATTGAATAAATCACATATTTCAATTATTTGCTTAATTTTCAGTTCACACATTAATGTTGAAAAGGAATTCAATAGCAGGGAAACAATCATTAATGCAGATCCTACAATCGTAAGATTTTATTTTGATAAATTATGTGAATTTTGACTAAGACTTATTCTTATGTATCATTCTCTTTTTAGCTAACAAATTTTTCTTTTATTTAATCATTTTTAAAGGAATTCTCAGCATATTCAGAACCTTTTGAAGGGCAAAGTGGTCGTGCTGATTCATATCCAACCTCATTTATGGTGGGTTTATTTTACTGCGCTTGTATATATTTTATTTATAGCATATATGCATTTGTAAACAATTACTGTTTCAGGATTTGATGAGAGCAACTTCGTATCCATATCAAAGAGGTTTCTAATCTACAAGGTGACTTGGAGTATGTGGAATTTAAAACTATAAAGGATGTCTAGAGAGACAATTATTCAAAATTCATTTTGTTCTGTTTTCTTTCTTTGGTAGAATATAAATCCAGGGATATTTTTTGTTCAAGACTTTTTTTTCTTTTAAGTTTACATACAATAACTAAGAGTTTTAGCTTTAGTTTTTTTGTTGATTGTGTTTTTATTCATAGTGAATTAGTTACTCTTTTATGCCTTCATATATGTTAGCAAGGATACTCCACTCTCTGATACATAGCAGCAGCAATAACAACGTATAGCAACAAAAAATTTTCACCGAAAGAATAAAATTTGTAACCAAGCATGCAATTGTGATTAAATCATGGGCCGTATTTAATAGTGTTTGATTTTGTTTGCTTACTCTTATAAGTTTGAATATGTTGATTTTGTTGCACTTTATGTTTCTGGAATAGTTTCATATTAATATTTTGCTAGCATTGCTTCAATGGCAACAAGTACCGGTTCTTATAAAAAAAATAATACGTTGACAATGATTTTCTTTGAAGGATTGAAGTGCTTTCCAATAAGAAAACACAAGAAATTATGTATTTTTTATTTTTGGTTAGACAAATAAAAATCCTAATTAAATTTGTACAATTAATTTATAATTCAAGTTACCATATAACACTCTGTTATTATTTTTATTTTAATATTAATAATATTAAAATATATTAATTAAAAAAATTAAATATTTCCAAAAATAATATGCCCGTGTAATTTTTTGTCCACCGTCGGTGGATAGTAGTTAAACTCTAACTCAAAACTATTTATTTCAATTTTTTTCGTTTGTAGTTTCTATTTTTTATTTTTGGATTCTAGATTAATTTAGTTAATTGAATTAATAGTTCAAATTATTATTAGAAAATGCACTATTTAGTTCGATGTTTTTTTATAGTTTATACTATAATACTATTATTATTATTATTATTATTATTATTAATTTATTTATTTATTTATTTATTTACTATAACTTATTATAATCTACATTTTTTTGGCTAAAAAATTGTAACGTTTTTCTTTTTAAATAAAAACAAACCACTTTTTAAGAAACTTTTTTCTTTTATTAAAATATTAAATTTATTTTAATTAGTTGATTATTTAAAGTTAAAATTAGATATTAATTGTAATCGCGCTATCACCTCTAGAAGATTATTTTCTAAACCCTAAATCATTTTTATTATCTTTGTTGCCCCCCAACTCTTATTTTTCTCTCCTGTTCATCCTACAAACTATTTGACAATATGACAAAGAAATCATTTGAGTATTTAACTCCAGATCTTTAAGTGAAAAGGAAACTCATGAACGGCAGATCGATCTGACAAAAGAAAAGGATTTAGAACTTTCCTTTGTTATTGTGGGTGATGATTGTGCCTGGACTTTGCTATCGAACAAAATATCTCTTTTCTTTGATCAGGTAAGATAATACTGTAAAGATCTTGAAATTTTTTATTTTTCTCCCAAAAATTCTATTAATTCAATTGAAATGGAATAAACTAAACCATTTACATTCTTTTATTTTAAATTGAATCTAATGAGAATCACTGTTTCATTATTAGTTTGATGGAATTCATCAGACCATCATAGGTTTTTTGTTTCTTATTCTCCAAGTTGTTGATTTTCAATAGATTTGATGGGGTGTTATCAAAATGGAGTTGTAATTCAAACATATCTTTACTTATCTCTATGCATTAAACTTTCTTTGATTTTCTACCAATTTAATAAAAAATAAAGAGACAAGTGCCAATAACACACCTAAACTATTTACTTTTTTTAAGCTTCATACCTAAAGTATTGAAACCGTAAATTTCATACCTAAACTATCACTTTTTAGTTTGAGAAACACACCTCAGTGGTGTGTGTAGTGCACTCTCTCTATTATATGAAAAAACTTTGACAGATGGCATTTCACAATTATCTAGATAAAAATTAAATAATAAAAAATTAATATTAATTAAAAATTAAAGATTACTTTCCATATAAAAAATTAAATTATTTTTCTTATCTCACTCCACCACCACCTCTACGTACTCCCCCCCCTCCCCCGCGACAACACCATCCTTTTTTTTTAAAAAAAATCATTTATAAAATATTCTTACAAATTTCATATTTCATCCTCCCCCTCCCCCTCCCTCTCACCCCCAACCCCCACCCTGATAGAAATTGATATTATTTTTTTGAAATAATCTACCCCATCCTATTTAATTTTCCGCTCCTAATATTTTTTTTTACGTTATTCTTATTTTGTGTTAGATATGCATGTACACATATTTTTAGAAAATTTTTTTACTAGTGTGCCGAATATAACATAAAACAACTAAAAATATAAAAAGTCTTGTGGCGGCAAGTAAAAAGTATTCTCGATATGTAATCTAAACAATGCGGAAAAAATTGAAAGCAGAGGGTTAAGTGGGATGGGTAAAATTATATTTTTTTAAAAATAAAATAATATCTAAATTAGTATTTGATGAGGGGGAGGAGAAGAATTAAAATAGGAAATACTTTTATAAAAGAGATTTAAACAAAATAAAAAAGTTTAAAAAATGGTGTGGGGTAAGAAAAATATTTTACATTTTGTTTTATAAAGAAAATATTTTTTTGTATAATAGTTTTTTAATATTTTATTTTAACTAATACTAATAATTTATTTATTTTTTGTCAAGGTTGAATATTTTGTCCATATGGAGTGTGATGTGGAAATTGTTTAAAATAAAAGAGAGAGATTGTATTACACATACCATGATGAGAGTGATATAAAAGTGAGAGGTGTGTTTCTCAAACTAAAAAGTGATAGTTTAAGTATGAAACTCAAACTTTCAATAGTTTAGGTATGAAATTTAAAAAAAATGTATAATATAGGTCTGTTTTTTATACTTATTTCAAAAATAGATAAAGAGTTTGTTAATCAGTTTCTGAAGTAAAAGAGTTTTGAGATTATCTATTCGGAGTTCCTCATGCGAGAGAGATAGGCTTCAATAAAGATGTTCTTCTAGATACTCGTCCCATATCTATTTTGCCTAATAAAATGGCACCAGCAAAGTAGAAAGAGCTTAAAGAACAGCTAAAAGATCTGCTTGATATGGGCTTTATTCGATTAAGTGTCTCACAATAGAGCGCCCTGATCTTATTAGTGAGGAAGAAGGATGGTTCCCTACGATGTGTATATAGTACTGTAAGTTGAACAAGGTTACCATCTAGAATATGTATCCTTTTCCAAGGATTGATGAGCTTTTGCTCAACTTCAGGGTTCTACTTGTTTCTCCAAGATAGACCACAGACTACCATCATTTGGGTAAAGGAATGTGAAATTACAAAGACAACATTCAGGACTCGCTATAGTCATTTTGAATTCCTAGTTATGTCATTTAGGTTGACTGATGTGCCTGCAATATTCATGGACCTTATGAATATAGTATTCAAACCTTATTTGGATACGTTTGTTATCGTCTTCATTGATGATATACTAATCTATTCAAGGAATGAAGAAGATCATCTTAGTCATCTCAAAATAGTTTTGTAGACTCTAACAGATAGAAAGTTGTATGTCAAGTTATCTAAGTGCGAATTTTGGCTTGAGTATATGGAATTATTAGGCCACATTGTGTCCGTAGAGGTAACTAAAGTTGATACCCAAAATATAGAGGTAGTGCAAAAATGACCTATACATATGTCTCCAACCGGTATTAGGGGTTTTTTGGGTTTGTCTAGCTATTATAGAAGGTTCATAGAGGGGTTCACATTTATTTTATCCCCTTTGACTAAATTAATTCAAAAACCAATAAAGTTTCAATAGTCTAAAGCTTGAGAGAAAATCTTTCAGGAATTGAAAAGGTTGACTACTACCCTATTTTTTACCTTACTAGAAGGTACTCAAGGTTTTGTGGTGTATTGTGACGCATATAGAGTTGGTCTGGGTTGCATATTAATGCAGAATGGGAAGGTTATAACTTATGCCTCCAGAGAGCTGAAAGTCCATGAGAATAATTAGCTAACCTATGACTTAGACTTGGTAGTTGTAGTATTTGATTTGAATATATGACATAATTATTTGTATTGTGTTCATGTAGAATCATTCATTGATCACAAGAGTCTTCAGTGTGTGTTCACTTAAAAAGAGCTTAATCTCTACAAAAGAGGTGGTTACAATTACTCGACGATTATGACATGAGTATTCTTTACCACCCATTAAGGCTAATGTTGTGGATGATGCCTAAATTTTGTTTTCTATGGGTAGTACTGTCTATTTTGAGGAAGATAAAAAAAATAACTAAGAAATGATGTGCATAGTGTTGCAGGCCTTCCACAAAAGGAGGAGTAATGGCGATGATGTTGAATCATCATTAGTGTTAGAAGTAAACTAAAAGCAAGACCAATACCCTATTTTTCTTGAATTGAAGGCAAATGTTTATAAGCAAAAGGTAATCGCTTTTGAACAAGGGGGGGATGGTGTATTGAGGCATCAAGGTAGATTGTGTGTACCAAGGGTGGGTGAACTCCAAGAGAGGATCATGGAGGAAGATCATAACTCCAGATATTCCATTCATCTGGTTTCCACAAAAATGTATCATGATTTGAGAAAAGTTTACGTCTGGAGTAGTATGAAGAAGGGCATTGCAAAGTTTGTTGCTAAGTGTTCGAATTGCCAACAAGTTAAAGTAGAGCATCAATGGGTCAGTGGTATGACTCAGAATATTGAACTTCCTAAATGGAAATGGGAGATGATCAATATGGACTTCATCACAGGTTTACAAAGGTCTCGCTGCCAAGATGATTCTATTTGAGTGATTGTTGATCTAATGACAAAATTAGCTCACTTTTTGCCTATAAAGACTACTCATTCAACAAATGATTATGCTAAGTTGTATATTCAAGACTGGTAAGACTTCATGGGGATTCTGGTCTCTATTATTTCATACTGTGTATTGCTGCACAGTTTTGGAAGTCATTTATAAAAAGGTTGGGT